CTGGTGGTGTTTACTCATTTGACGTTCGCTTTGATTTCGAAATGAAGTGATGTATTCATTGCTCATGAAATATAGAACCAAAACGTCTTTTTCATATCTTTACGATACCAGCTATCAATGATGGCGAAAATTATGTGATACGGAGAAGATGTGTGTACCCCGAATGCCAATGCTAAAATTGGCCTACAAAATTTCATTCCGGCAATCTCGATCTTACTCTCACTATTACCTGGACGACCTCTTGAAGCCGATGCGTATAAAAAGAAGTCGTTGGTTGAAGCAAATCGTCGATTAATAACTCGCAAGTTTGCTAAAGGACTAAGTTTGTCAAAAGCGACGCTTTACAAGCACCTGCAAACGTCTAAAATTAACATCAAAGCTTGACCGATGAGCTGCTCATGTTCTTAGAGAACGAAATTTGCTTAGTCGCATTAACGAATGTTATTTGCTTATCTAACCTAAACGAAATATCCGTTTCAAAGCGCATTGTTACTGACGGCGAAGAGATCATGATCGAAAATGGTTGAGTCAGCTCAAATTACTTCGAAGATATTTTATTCATGGTTTTTTTGAGCTTTTGCCGGATAATACTACAAATAATTGTGAAGTGTATTGAGATCAGCTGAACGAATTGAGTGATGCATTCATACAGTAGAGACCAAAATTGATCTATAGAAATGGTTGTAGTGTTCGATCAGAATAATGTTAATACAAGTTTGATGACTCGCCCACAAGTATTTGCAGGTTGAATGGGATGTTTTATCATCCAGTCTAGGGACCTTCGCACTTTTACAGACAGAACCTTAATCTCAAATCAGGACGTCAGAAACCACTTGGACTAGTTTTTTGCCAGCAAGGATGCAAATTTTTAAGAATGTAGCAAAGGTCGTTCGATCAAAATGGAGAATACATAATTTAATAAAATGTTTTACACAATAAAAAAATATATTTGTGACTTCAAAAAGGTTCTTAAAGCGAAATCTGGCTTTTTTTTTTTAAATATTTTGAGACAGCTCAAGTTTTTGAATAAAACTTTTGGAAAACAATAATACAAAAACACTAAACCAAAGCTAAAAAAAAAAAAAAAAAAAAATAAATTGTTAAATTAAAAAAATAAAAATAAAATAATTATTTTATCTTTCTCAAAGCTAATTTCTCTGAGCAGTAATGGTGCATAAATTAGATAAAAATAAGCGCACGATAAAGTTGAAAATTGAAAAAAATTGAAATACATTCTTCACACAAAATTTAAAAAGGAAAAAACCAATGAGTAACCGCACAAAAAAAGAAATTACGCTAAACGCTTATGTGCAATAACCTTGTCCAAGCTGGGAACACTGGTTGCTAATGACTACAGTGTGGGCGAATATATTACGGCAAGTGAGCACATCAAGATCTAAGCATTGAAAATTAAGAGACGACGACGACACACTTTCTCAATGGCACAAGAAACCAGCGAGCTAAGGGCGCGCGCACCGACACCACGGCCGAGAAGTACACTGTTGCAGCACCTCGGTGGCCGTCGAATGAGCGAGTGCATGGGTCCAACGCGTGAGCAGCACAATTGTTTCTGAATTCTTTTATTATTTCTTTTGTTTCCTTCCTCCTTCGAATTGCACTCGTAAATTAGCAATTATCATTAAATCGACAATCAGCCGGTGTTTCACGTGACCGAAGTGATCGGTCACATACAAAAACTACAACAAAGCCATTTGCATGCATACATATGGATGTCGGTGTATAATAGCAGAGGGCACGTTTATAAATGAAAAAAAAAAATAAATAAAAATAAAAATTTTAAAAATCAAATGACAATTTAACATTTAGACCGCCGCGGCGATCAGACAGATTAGCGTGCGAGCGTGTCGGGCAGACGGCCGGCGTAAAGCGTTTGGCATTCGTACATTCGCAAGTTCAAAGTCAAGCTGTTTTTTCTTCCATACATATACGAGTATATACAAATTTACCTAATCGTTTACACACACACACACACACACTCGCTCACATTTACAAGATTACATATTTTTAAATGTATTTTTCGATTTATGCTGATGATCATGGCGGAACCTGCAACCATCCGCCGTTCGCCGTCATAGTTCCCGGTTTTGTTGCTGTTGCTGTTGCTGCTGCAGCTGTTGTCACAAATAATTGTCTACAGTTGAGTGAACGTGACAATTGGGCGCCATTAGCGCTGAAGTACTAGCGACAAGCGAGCGAGTGTTGTAAGTGATTTTTTAAACGAGCAGCGCGGTTGGCGGCCGGGCGTAATCCAGTCCGCATGAAGGGGGGTTTAGCTTATGAATTGTTAACAACATAGAGGAAAATTGTATAAATTCGGTTTTAGAATTTAATTTTTTTTTTTAATTTCCGCTTTTATTTTTCATTTAGTTTTTCAACATTGTTTGTAAATTTCAAATTTTTAATTTTTCAATGCTCTTGGCTGTCATGAGATATGTGTGTTTTTTGCGCTTCACTTGAAATAGTGTCTTATTTTTTATTTATTAATTTATTTTTATTTTTTTTTTATTTCGTGTAATTATGTTTTCTTTTCGGTTTTAGTGCGCTGACGATCAAACATGCGATTGCGCCATTTCTCTGGCACAATTTATCGTTGTCAGAATTTCTCCACCCACAAGAGTGTTATTATTGTTGTTATTATTTTGGTTATGCACTATATATACTCGTAGCACACATCAATGTATGCATGTATATATGTATGTATTTAACAAATTCAGGCAGTGATCTCAATTAGTTGGGGGTCAATGTAGTGCAAACGGTTGGCTTTTCTCAAATAAATTTATACCAAATACAAATTCAATATATGTACATACACGTATGTACAAAGTAAGAATGGAAAATAATTTCTTTAAAAAAAATATGATGCATTTAAAAATCATTTATGGGTTTTTATTTCCGCTGGAAAAATTCGTCACGTGGAGGGGAAACTGAACTACAACGATTAAAAATGATTAAATATAATTAGAAATTTTTTTATTTATTTTTTTTTCATTTATTTTTTTTATTTATTTATTTTTTATTTTTATTTTTTTTTAATTTTTTTTTATTTTTTTTTTTCAATTTTTTTTATTTTTTTTTAATTTTTTTAATTTTTTTTTAATTTTTTTTTTTATTTTTATTTTTATTTTTTATTTTACTTTTTTTTATTTTTTATTTTTTTTTTTTTATTTTTTATTTTATTTTTTTTTATTTTTATTTTTTTTTTTATTTATTTTTATTTTTTTTTTATTTATTTTATTTTTTTTTACTATCTCTTTTTATTATTTTTGTTTATTTAGTAAAACCAGAACTTAATTTGGATTAAGAATTGTCGATACAACAGAATTTACGTTTTGCTCACAGCAAATTCCATTGCTTTTTGTGAAAAGTGTTGAGAGCTGTCATTATTGCCGATCGATATTAAAATTTATGAAGACAACTATTGTCGAATAATTAATTTCATTTTATTAGCAAATCTACATTAAAAATTTAACAGAAAAATTGCTTTAGGCTTGTGATTTTCAAGAAGAAATAAAACTCATAATATTTAATTTTATATACAGATGAGGCCTTTGCCGTTAGATTTTAAAAATTATTTCGGCCAAGAGAGCACCGGGACTGGCTCGAATAATTTCCAGGCGTGTTAATTCGCACGATCTTGGCGGCCACGCCACAGGCTAATGACGCGTGATGATACGCTCACTCTATAGCGTTTCCAATTGACTAACATTTTGGTCGGCTTCATTTTTATAGGAATATGGACATAATGGATTCTCATCACCGCGAGTGCGACAGTTTTGTAACCCATTCAAGCAAAAGTTTCGCTTTATCGCTGAACAAAATTTTCTTGTGAAAATCGGTATCGGTGATTGTTCATGCGAGGAGCATAAATCCTTGTATAATCTCAACGTTTTTATGTCTTGCCATCCCTTCTTCGCAGCTTCAGTAGCCTCAAGGGCATCGGTGCAAGACCAGTGGGTTACGCCCATTTTTTGATACGAGTCTGATCTTTAACGGAATACACTCTTCCCCAACCATTCGCTTAAAATTGGTCTGAGAGCCGCATAGCGGCATCTATTCGTATCCAGACGACTTAACCGTCCAGGGTGCAATGTTAACACGAAGACGGTAAATACTTGAATAACTTTAAGCGATGGCTAATTGCATTCCTATCCTTACACCGTTGAGCGGAATGCGTTTGGTCTCTGCCCAGCGTCAGATGCCTCTTATGGCATTGGCTAATGATAATTTTTTTTTAATAAATTTGAGATCCTCCCTCACCCGCTTAAACAGTGGTCATCTCGTTTGGCTTGATGTTCGTTCTACTAAAATTCTTGCACGAGTTGGATCTTGTAAGCACGCAAACCAAGATACTTCCGCAAAATCTTTCAGAAAGTGGATTGACACAGGCAATTGTCCAATTTTTGAGTGCGAAGACGGATGAAAACTATGCTTTACAATAGCAATAGCATCTTCGGTACAGTTTGCACCGCCATCTCTGAGCCAGCAAATTATCCACTAGAAAAGAGATTGTCGAAGCTCTTTCTTAATGTTCAGTTATCCAACTCTGCTAGAGATAATACTTTGGCGTGCCCTGTACCGCAATACTCCCAAAGTTGAGTTGCATCTCGCTTGTAATTTGTCGTACAGGTCCAGAGGAAGGATGTAGAGAACAGTTGGCAGTACTTCTGATCAGCGAACGCTTGACTAGAGCTCAAGTTGGATCGTGGAAGGTTGGAAAGCAACTTAAGATATTGGAATTGGACGCAAGTGCAGGCTTGTGGTATGCCGTAAGCGTTTTGCTGAATTAAGAATGCTAATGAAAGTACTTTTATGTGGATTTTCTTAGGATCAGCTGCGATAACCTAATCCAACCTGTACTAAGACGAGCTTAGGAGCTAAAATGTGTTTCGCATTTTTATTTTTGTAGCGTTATACTCAATTCTACGAATAACTAATTACATCTACATTACAAATTTATTGAAAAAACATATGTTACATACCGTTTTGAACAACTGGGACTGGACTGATCCGTTAATTTGACTGAGATCAATTTTCTGAAATAAAAAAATAAATAGACGAAATTTATATAGGAATTTCTAAAGTGATTTTAATTGCATATAAAAATATAATATATATATTATAGTATATAAGTCAATATCAATATATCAAATGATTCATTTTTTCATTTTTCATTAAAATTTTTTTTTTTCAAAAAAACTGTTTTTCTTATAAAAACAAAACGTACATCATTGAAGGTATTCCCGGTCCGGAAGCGACTACTTTCCCCCTCGCTTCTCTGTTAATTGTTTCCCCCTCTGGTAATTTTCGAATACCATCTCCAATGTCCTCTGTTCGCGATATAATCATTAAGTCAATCCCTGTGACCCCTGAAATCATTTTGCATCTATCGAAAAAGTGAGTAGTCAGAAGGAGTACAGTCTGGCGAATATGTAGGGAGAGGTAAGATCTTCCATTTCAACGTGTCAAGGTAGTCTTTCACCGTTACAGCTGCGTTGGGCCGAGCGTTCTGAAGTTGTAAAATCACCTTTCGATCGTTTCAGGCCGTTTGTGACGCAATGTATGGCTCAAACGCATTTGTTGTAGCTGATAATGTTTCAAATCTATGGTTTCGCTTGGATTTATACGCACTCCTTACCTTCAAACTTTTGGGTTGGCGAGAACGCTCTTTGTTTACCAATATTGAAACGACTTTCGGCCGAGATCCTCCTCCAAATTGTTGTTTTGCGTTTTAATGTTTTTCCAACAAATGGAGGGACCTACAGTTTATATTAAGCGGCTTTCGAACGGCTGAAGAAATGTTGCAATTCATTCGTAAATTTCGAAACAGAGGCTTTGCTGATCATTGGATTCCACTCGTGTTTGGTATTCAAGACTACTTCACCTTGGGATATTTTTTTAACAGCAAAATATCAGAAACCTTAACATTTTGCTTAATTTATTGGTTCGCTTGAGTAAAATAAAAAAATTAAAATACTTTCATAACAACATGTGACTCAGAGAACGTGCAAATGACGAAGCCAGTAATTAAGAAACCAGACAAAATATGCAAATGCAGAGTAGAGTCGATAAAAATGAAGGTTTATTTGGCAGTTAAATTCTCAAAATTGATACTTGTATGTTATAACATTATAAACACACAGATTTTTTGTTCAAACGATCCTTTCACTTCCGGTTAATATCGAAACGAGGTTACTTTTAATAACGGTAGATGGCAGCCGGCCGATATTGCGTAGTGAATTATGTATGTGCTATAGCCTGGCTGCTGGTTTAGAATGTTGCCACTGAGAATATTCAAAATTGTTTTTACTCTATGGTAAGCTCTGGTTCAACACACATTCCTCAGATATTTAAGTTATCCACCAACTGCACCACGTTCACCTCATGTGCGCCTTTCTTCTTATCATTTTGTCCATCCTTTGGGCGCTGTTCCTTCTCAAGCTTTTGCAACACTTCGTTCAAATCCTTTCGTTCATCTTCGTCAATAACACGAAACACTCGAACCGCAGCCACATTATTGATCACCGATTGTTCAATCATTTTGGTTAGATGAAATTCTCTTGTTATGACAACTTTCGTGCAGGCCACACCTTTTTGCTCTTGCACCAATGTATTGTCGTATAAATTCATAACGGTACACATTTTGCGTAAGTCATAGGTCTCTTCTTCGAATTCCTTGCCCAACTTGAAGGTGAGCATGTGCGGTGGTTTGTCATCGTTTATCGTAAGCAAGTTATGTGTGCTTCCGACTTGATGTAGCATAACAATCGGTTTTTGAGTATTTCCCAATTTTCGCTGTACCAAACCCATGCCGAGCTCTTTCATGTAGGCGTCGTAATTATCACTGCAGTCGAGTTTGTACTGCTTACCCAGCCAACAGTTGATTTTATTGAGTTTTGGCATTTTTTGCTATCGGCGAATTTTGAAAATATTCCAAATATTTTGTATGAGTATATTAAAAATTTTTATTTTTTTTATTTTTTTTTTTCTTTTTTTGTTTGTTGTGACTAATTGGGCTATGTAAGAAAGCTTTCAATTTTGAAAAGAGTTTTTTATGTGTTGGAAAGTGAGCTCTTTTTAAGAAATCTTAAAATTTAGTTTATGTCTTTTGTATAATTCCATATACAATAAAATTGCATTTTTTCTTTGTGAAAATTAGATTTTATTGGCCAAGCTTTTTTTAAGTGTGCGAGTATTCGGTTTAAATGTTATTAAGCTTTGTCTTTAAACTATTAATATCAAAGTTAATATTGAGTTATTGAGCTTTTTGCACATTAAATAAAATTTAGTATAAATTTTTTTAAAACGAGCTCTGAACGAGTTGAGTGACCTTTCAATATATTTCCATATCTTATTTCAATAATGGAAAGTGCTTTTGAGCTTTTCGTTAGATTATTGCAATTATTAAAAATTGTACCATTTTATATTTATTTGAATATTTTGTTTCTTTTTACAAACTTAATTTCTCTTACACTAGCATTTCTAAGATGTGAAAGTTTCATCAGAGCTTTCACAAAGCTTTCAAACCACTGATGGATTTTTATAAGGAGCTTTTAATTTATGTTAGAAATTCACTCGGAGGACTTGACATTCCCTGCCGAGGGATGACCGCAATTACGAAAACTAGTTTTTGTTTATTAATTTTGTTAATTATTATATTTATATTTTATTCTTTAAGATATGGTCGGAGCAACTTAATACGATCAGCTCTTAAAAAATGATGCCAACAGCAAGTTGTGGCCGATCATGGTTGGGATTATCTATTGTATTTGTCTGCATCCAGCGTCTTGTTTTTGCCTCTAGAAAATAACGCAAACCCGTTAAATTAACAGCATTTGCGGGAAGCTTTGATTTTCCATTTTAATTGGAAAACTGATAATTTTAGTTTCGAAGACAAAGAGCGTCCTGACCCACACAAGAAATTTGAAAATGAGGAATACTGCTGAAACCATGCGAAACCTTTAATGCGAATTGTTATAGACTACAAATAATGCGCTTAATCCGTGCATTGTGTGAAAAACGGTCTGAAACGATAGAAAAGTATGACAAGGTGATTTTGCAACATGACAAAGTGGCTGAATACTGCTTCAAAATATTGAGATGGTGAAATGGCAGGTCTTATACCAACCAATGGTTCAATGATTGGATGGAGGACAGAGATGACTCATTTTTTAGAGGTGGTATACGAAAATTTTCAAAAAAAATGGGAAAAACAATTGATTTGTTTTTTGTTTTCGAAAAAAAAAAATATTTTTTTCAACATAAAAAAAGGACTTAATTAAATTTTACTCCCCATAGCAGAACTAATTTCCATTGTTCAAATTATTCTTAGCTTATTATTTTGAATTAGACTAAAAGCCTCAAAAAAAAAAAATACTTTTCGACATAATAAATATTTCGAAAATAATTAAAATGTCGTAAACAGTTCCCGAAATAATATTAAATTGTAAAAAAAAAAATTAAAAAAATATGACACAATAAATGCGATTTATCCTGATGCAGAAAACATTTCCAAATGTACCATGTAAAATTAATAGCAAATAAATAATTTGTCTGCACACAAATTTCACATGCCCCGAAAAATACGTGAAAATTTATTAAATTCAACGGCACTGTCTGTGACAAGATAAATTAAAATTTTAATTTAAATGTGGTACGCAAAAAAAAAAAAAAAAAAATAAACAAAAAAAAAATTAAAATCACCGAAAACGAGGTGCACTGCACTTTACACCTGCTAGCAATCAGCAAATATGTTGGTACAAATATATTTCTTTTAATAAAATAAGAACACAGCAGCGACTAACGGCAATTATACTAATTGATAACTGAAAGTGAAATATATTGGTAGATAAAATTTAAATATTTGAAAACTTGAAATTTTCACGAGGACATCATTACACCAGCTCAGCGACAAATTAAGTCGACAGCCATACAATAAATTATATTTGAATATTTGCCTGTTTCGAAAAAGCAAATCATGGCATAAATATATACACATGTTACATACGAAATGTAAAAGAAAAAAAAAATAAAAATAAAAATATATAAATATTTATAAAATCGCGAAGAAGTGTGATTTGTATGAATTAAATGGTGGTAAGATCAGCATGGAGAGCGTATTTTCGCGAAAATTTATTGCAAACGAAAGTGAAAGATCTTATAAACAGACATAAATATACAAATAAATGCATGAATACGTAAATGGTTGTAGCTAAAAATATTTATGCCTGCAGTGGTTTTGTTGTGGCTTTTCGCGGATCAGAGTGAGCTCTTTTCTTGTGAGATTTTATTTAAATTTTAAAGTGAAATATGCCAAAGATCGTCGCGTCTGGGAATTCGAGTGAAAATAGAAATTTGTTGTAAAGAGAAATGATTTAACAGTGACGGAAAGTAATAAAACTCAAATAAATATATATATGTATTTTTTTACATAAACCCGAAAAGGAGAATGGCAAGAAAAGCATAACTAAAATAGCAAATGCGTAGAAATTTTGTTTTAGTTAATTTTAATAATTCTAGAAATGCCCGATAAAGCCCAAAGCCGCTATAATAGCAATCCATTTTTTTGTGAAGAATTGACCTTGATTTTGGCTAAAAACTTATCAGCATAAGTTATTATATTAAAAAAATATGTACAGAAATCGGTAAACTAATCAGTTTTCGGTAAAACAAAACCTATTTTAATTATAAATCGCCGATAATGGGCATTTGGAGTTGAAAAATATCGAAATTGCGATAAGACATTGGAGCTGTTTTTTTTTTCAAATAAGAATTATTCCCTATTTTAAAAAATAATTGAATATTCTAGCAGAAAATAATCGATATTTAAAAAATAATCGATTAATGATACAAATTAATCGATGTTTTTAACAACTATTATTGGTATTGGAAAAAAATTATAGGTATTTTAATAAAAAAAAAATATTGGATAATTTTTCTAAATAATTGAAATATTAGATAATTTTTCTAAATAATTGACATAGACATAGATACCTAGAGCAAAAACATTGCTTATTAAAAAAATTTGATCGGTTTT